TTCTTACTTTTTTGGTATGTGTTCTTTAATGTCATGCTTCTTTCACTCAACACTGAGATTCAACCATGCTATTACTTTTAGTAGGAGCTTGCTCTTTTTCACTGTAGAATATTCCATTATATGAATATACATACCACTACCTTCTTTAACCATTCCACTGTTGGACATTTCCATTATTTCCAGATGGGGACTATTATAAATAACACTATAAAAATTCTTGTGCATGTCTTCCAGTAAACATATGTATGCATTTCTGTAGAGTATACACACAAGAGTGGGATGGAGGGTCATGGGGTACACATATATCCAGGTACAGTTCTAAGCACTTTACATATACTAATGCATTTACTTCCTATCACAACTCTATGACGTGGGTGTTATCATTATACCCAATTTTTAGAGGAGGAAATGGAGGCATAGAGAAGTCCGTGTTCTTGAGCCAGCTGGCTAATGTTGCCTCTCTGTGTGGTCCAGGGACTGTATCTGCCCTGTGCAATAAGTATTCCTCGTACTGACCACAGTGTCTTATGTATACGCAATAGGAGCTAAACAAATATTTTTTGAAAAAAGTATTAGATAATAACAGGAACATCCCTATCCTCAACAACCCTTATTATATCTCATGTGAGCTGAAAATTTTATTCTCCATTTTTGGACCTAAAGTGCAAGTCAGATGAGTTATCCTGACCTTTGCCATCTCTTAATGCCCTATAGTGTATATGCTATTGAAAAGGAAAATTGCTAAGGGCTAACCACACAAAAGTATCATTCCCAACCCCCTGGATTTTGCCCGTTGAACCTTTAAATAACATAAGTCTAGCCCAAAAGATGAGAAAACAGACTCTAAAGTTAGGAGACTTGCCCAAGATCAAACTGATGTTGGAAAACTGGGACTAGGTTTCAAGTCTTATGTTAAGGAGCTATTTCCAATTTTGACCAGAATGACAAAGCAGTAGTACTCTGAAACTCTTTTGGGGATAGATAAGTCCTGCTTCAAACTAATGCAAAAAGCGAAGTTGTAAATAATAGCTGTAACTTGGAAGAACTGAAAACATGATTTAAAATTGAGAATCATTAAGTTATAAAAGTAACTGAATTAAAAAGTCTTTCAAGCCCAAGACTGGTACAATTAGCAAGGACAATTTTAACATAAGTCACTTCCCCAACCAAGGGTATGGAAAACACTATAGAAATGGGACGTATTTGGTCATTATTACTAAGAGATGAAAATCAAAATAAAGTTATCCCAGCCTTAAATTTGGCAACTCCAAGCAAGTTCTCTGACAACCTATTCCTGTATACTCCAACAAACTTAAATGAAGACAACTGGAAACTAATTCCATAGAGGTTGTCTGAGGGCATCTCTTTCTCACAACTACCTTTCTAATGATAATATTATATACTCTATTTACAGGACCAGTGTCTGTATCTCTTAAGAAAACTGCTCCTGAGATCACTGCAAATAGGTTTCCTCAAAGCACAACAGAACGAAAAGATTCTACAGAATGTTTCTACAGAAAGGAAACCCCCTACATGATCCAACTTCATCAGGTAAATCTCAAAATTTTTAGAAGTATGAAAATGTTTATCAGTTGTAGGGTTCAATTCCTAACCTAGGGAAATAATTCACTTTTGGGGTGGGCATTTTCATCTCCTAATTAACCAAGGAAAGGCTAACTAGTTGATTCATGAGATAAATCTATGAAATTTTAATAATTCCTTTTATGGAATCTTCAAAATATGTCCATGTCATTCTAGTCTCCAAAAAATGCTGCCTGTAGTTGAAACGTGAAGATTTCTGATCTAAAAAGGTGTGTGTGGTTTGTTCAGAACTCTGCAAACCACTGAACCAAAGTTTTTAGGACTGAAAAAGCATGTGGTGATTATATGTATCTGTCGTGAACATGCATACACACAGAGTTTGCATCTAAAGAGCTCACTGAAAATGTTAAATTCCCCAACAGAAAGTAGAGCTATGGAATAAATCTCCAAATTGCCAGAACTACCAGAAAGAAGTACTTCTGAATGAACCCATCTGGATTAAGTATCCAGCGCATGACTATCTAGTAATTGGTGTTCCATTTGTATTTAAATGAAATACATAATATAACTTTCAGGTACTCTATTATCCCTAAGGTGAGACTAAATTTTTTATTTGTTTATTTTTATTTTTTAAAAAGATTTTATTTATATGACAGAGAGAGAGAGCACAAGCAGGGGGAACGGCAGGCAGACGGACAGGGAGAAGCAGGCTTCCCAGTGAGCGGGGAGCCCGATGTGGGGCTCCATCCCAGGACCCTGGGACCACGACCTGAGCCAAAGGCAGACGCTCAACTACTGAGCCACCCAGGCGCCCCGAGAGTAAATTTTTTAGATCAGATTATACCTAAGACAAATACAATGCAAAAGTGATAGCAATCTTACCTTCTAGATTCCATGTTTTAGGAAGATAATGTGTAAGAGGTAAATTCCTTTATCAAAAAGGAAAAAAAAACCCAACAGAATCCTGTTACTATTGTTTTAAAACAACTAAGTATTGAGTGGAAGGAGGTGAGGAGATAGAGACTTCTGCAACAGACCACCACTTACAAGTGTACAGCGCATTTAACTAACTCTACTGTATATTAAGTTATGACAACCTATCTAGGTGTCCAGTTTTAACATTCCTTGATTCAATGCCATAGAAAAACATTAGTTTTTAATCTCTGAACCCTACGGACTAGTTCAGAGTAGCAGAAGATTTTTATCTTCGAGACATTAGGGAATTTCATCATTCTTCCAATCAGATCAGTTCCTCTAAAGGGTGAGGACTTTTGCTAATTCAAAATTTTTAATTGGATGAATTTATGGGAGAGAACCAGTCTTCTCAGTGCACCTTAATGATTCTATGTCTACAAAAGGAAAATCTTAAACAAATAGCTTTCCATTAATACATTTGTTCCCCAGAAACTACTGGGTTCCTTGCCGCTGTTATTGAAAACATCACAAGGTCAATTTTCAAAACCAGTTTAACAAAGACTTATTTGGTCAGATGAGCAGCCTCAGAGAATCCATTTATTATTGCTCTATTATCATAATTACATTTTTATTGCTCTTGTACTGTCTAATCCTTAATTCTTTCACATAAAAGCAACTACAGAAAAGTGCATGTAGCTAGAAATCAAGTTGTATTCATTAAACAAACAAAACAAATCCTTTTTCTTCCGGCACATATTTAAAGGAGAGACTGAAGATCCTCTTCCCTTCACAGAATATCCAAAATAACTTATCCTAAGAATGTTATAAACTCATGTTGCTCTGAACTACCATATAAGTAGATTTTAGTTTGTTCTTGGATTATATATCTAATCTTCTCAAAAAATGTACAGTATTTTAAAACAAGATCTCTTTTAGGGTCAACCCACAATTATCCAGGACCAGAGTCATTCAAGTTAAAAATATTCTTTTTGATTCAACCCAGACTCTAAAGTTACTCTCAGCTCTTTAAAGAAGTACATAAGACGTGAAACTAAAGTATTTGCCACTCTGAAAAGATCAAAAAGACTACTTGCAATCCAAGTTTGGTGAGGGAAAGCAGATCATTTGGAATGCATTTATACTTGTAGCTCCCATATTGCTGATAAATGTTACTGCCAAATTCCTTAAACTGTTCTAAAAGTTATTGCTGCAGCATTGCCTTATGAAAACTTTGTAATACTTTCAGTGATAATGTCCAACCTACGTTTATATCAAATGCCAGGTAATAAGAAATGGAAGGATCACGGAAGACATGTTATTTTTTAACTCAAAGGGATCTACCAATTTTTCAAAAATCAGTATGTATCTAGTCATACAGGAACTGCTCCCCTTTCCCTCTTTTAAATAAGGGAGTTACTTTTTGGCATCTTCTTACTACAACCTTTTCCTTCATTATCTGAAATCCGTGACTCTTTTGCAGATGCACTATTTCCTGTGACTGGTTTATTTTCAGTTAGTTTGTATGAGAACTACAACCGAGACTTCCTTTTGAATATCAACTAGCTCTGTTTCCTGGGGTTTGAACTCTAGAATCCCTAAATTCTCATAGCTATGACTACGTTCACATCTACCATTTGCTCAAAAGCTCTGCCCTTGCAAACAAAAGCTTGCGGTGGTCGAAGGCTCCGCGAGAACACCTCAAGGTGTTGTAGGTCCTGGGTCAGCAGCCACCCCACACAAACCTTCACAAAAGCAGCTCCAGGCTCTGCAAGATTAAAACGGGCAAGTAGTGGGAGAAGTCCCGATTCGGCCAACCCTAGCGAACCGGAGCCTTACAAATTGGCCAGACTCATGAGGGGTGCACACAACCGGAGAAGGGGGGGAAGCCCCTAAAGAGCATTAAGGGTTTGGGGGGAGAAGCAAGTCCAGGGATGCAAGGTGGTGCCCGCGCACGCCTTGGCAACCTAATTGATGCCACAAGCAGTTATCAATCCAGGCAATAGAGGTCGGTCTCCAGGCCCTCAGGCGCACAGGAGATCGCTAACTCGGGCCGCGGGAAAACGACTTGGGCTGAAGGAGAGAGAAGCACACGCGCCGCCACCCCCACCCCTCAGCCGGTTGCTCACCGGTGCTGCAGCCCCACGAGTCCCAGAGTGATCACATGCGGCACATCTAGCTGCGTGGGCCACTCTCCTGAGGCGATGCACCCGAATACGCCACATTCCTCTCGGATTCCCAACTCCTCCAGCTCCATGTCGCTGCCGAAAACACGTGCAGGGACCTGCCGCCGCAGCAGGGGCCTGAGCACCAACCAGCTGCCCGCTCGGCCCGTACGCCTCAGAGGCTCGCTTCCTTCCCCAGCCGCTCGACCCTCGCTACTGCGACGGCGCGCGCTTTCCCAAAGCAAGCGTGATTAGCGTTTCCCCCACTGCACACCCTGCCCCGCCCCCTCAGGATGCACCAATGAGCGAGGAGGGAGGGAGAGCCTCCGTGGCTGAGAGGAGGAGTCACAGACGCCTGGGGTGGAGCTAGTCCTCCGCCGGATCCCTACGGGAAACTACTTTTTCTGCACATGGAAATCTCCGTTATTTTCTAACACCCAAGACTGGGGTGATGAGAGTAGTTTTGTTAACGTCATTTCTGTCCCAGAGGATGTAAACTTTGTATGGCCCTCCTCACATGCTTTCCCCCGGCCGTCACTACTTGGTACGCTCCAACCTATGAACCGCTCTCGCAGCGGAGAAGGTAGCCGGTCAGCGAGCCTGTGTAGAATCGGGAGGGTCCGTCAGTGCGCGCCACTTTTCGCCTCTTCTGGAACAGCGCCCGCGCACAGGGGTGAAGGGGACGGCCTGTGTCTCTGCGCCTGCGCGGCGGGAAGCCTCGCGGGTAGAGCTAGCTCGCAGAATCGAAGTTGCTCTTGGGCGGCAGAGACTTCCCGGGTTCGGTGGCGGCTGTATTGCTAGCGGAGAGCGCGTGTGGGCCCAGGAATACTAGGCCTGGCCGGAGGTGTGTCTGTGGGCCGCTTTCCCTCCCCCGCCACGTGAGCCTCTCTGACCACTCCTCTTTTCCAGAGTCTTGCCTGTCTTCCCGGCGCGGCCGCTGCCCCCAGCCCACGCAGGATAATGGCGACAGCTGAGGGTGAGTAACAGGCACCCCCAGGAATCTGCCGGGGACTCCTGCCCTCCTCGGTCTTCCAGCCGCCGCCTCCTTGCCTGGAGGTTGCGGACTCGCCGCCGACACGTGCACACCCCGCGGCCCTGCTGGCAGCCTCCTCCCGGGCTGTGCCTGGTCTCCTTGCTGCCGCCCCTCTAGGCCGCAGGGCGGGCGGACACGTGGCCCGGGCACCGCTAAGCGGGGCGTAGGAAACCCAGCGCTCCCGGGCCTCGCCGAACTTTCTGAAATACTCGGAACTGGCTCTGGGTTGGGGAAAAGAAACAAAGTAGAGGAAGAGAGTGATTAGAAAAAGAAATGGCCAGGGGTTGGAGAAGTGCCTGGAAATCATATTGGTAATCAATAGTTATTGCAAAACAATCACAGGAACTTAGGTGTTGAATCTTCTAAGTCTTGCTTTTCCTGTTAAGTCAGTAGCCTGCTATTTCCGGAACATTAATATTTGAATCTATTGAAAAATTTACTTTTTTGGGTCCAGATTTTGTGTCCTTTATAGTCTTGATGCCATGATGACTTTGAAGAGCTCCAGAAGTACCAGGCAGAAAGTTGCCTTGATTCACTTTACATTTATCTTATTTACATAATCTTTTTATTTACGAGTGATTAGGTGCCCAGAAAAGATCACTTGTGACATTTATGCCGATAAAACAAACTTTTTTTTCCCCACACACCCAATTTCTAAATTTATGATGAACCAAATTGCTTGTGTTGGCTGATCAGTACATCGTCTTCCACAAAGAAAAATTGAATTTAGGTAAAATATTATAGACTTAATCTAATATAGATATCTGTCGTTTTGCTAAAGTGCTTAAAATCCACATGGTTGTTCTTAGGATAAAATGGAAACACTATCAACATGATGTATGAGGCCTGAAGGATGAATAGTGAAATGCAAGGGAAGGAAACAGTGTTTGGGCCTAGGGAGAGTGTGTCAAAAGCCTGGGAGTGGGATATAGAAATTCAGTTACACAAATTAGAGTTCTGGAAAGGGAATAGAGAAATCTGAAGTTGGAGCACTAAGCTGAGGCTCTAACTTGAGGGACCTTTTAAACCTTGTCAGTAAGTCAGGATGTTACGATAGGATGGGAATTCATCCTCTAGGTACCTTGCAGCGTAACTATTAAATTGAATTATAACTGTTTGTTTAATGGTCACCTCCACTAGCTGGTGATCTGACCACTGCTCAGTTCTCCTGCCATTCTTTTCTACTCTGTAGCTGCTGCCCTCCCTCCCTTGCCCAATAGCATTGTGTGTGTGCGTGTCACACACACACAAACACACCTCCAACCATACTGAAGTCCTGCCCTGCACTGTTCACACACACACACACACACACACACACCTCCAACCATACTGAAGTCCTGCCCTGCACTGTTCACACACACACACACACACACACACACCTCCAACCATACGGAAGTCCTGCCATGCACTGTTAACCCCATGGTCTTTTTTCACCACCACTACTAACCCTTTTCCCTCTTTTGGCTAAATATGTATCCTGCCTCAGATCTCAGCCTCAACCTCACTTTGTTTCAGACGTCCTTCTCTGGTGTCTAGACTAGGTTAGGTGGGCCTGCTATGAATGTGTGATCCTGTAGTCTCTGTATGTCTCACACCATACTTACTTTGATGTCCTGTTTAATTTTAGCTTCCCTCAGACTCAGGTTGCTTGAGAGCAGGACCTCTGTCTTGTTTACTGGTATATCCCTAGTGTACCTGGTACATGGACCCTAAAAAATGCCAATACTGAGAATGAGTCCCTGTTCTAGGAGCATGAGGGGTGATTTCTCCCCTTGGAAATTTTAAGTCCTTAAACTTCTGTTATCTCTGATCTTCATCTAAATCAGTCTTTCTAATGACTACTTTTTTTTTTTAGTCTGTGACCTGCATCAAATTGGATTCCTTTGTCCTTACTTCCTCACAATTTCCCACATCTGTTAGTGTGGAGAAAGGATTAACACTGGGGAGTAGGGAAGAAAGAATAAGAAATAGAGGTGCTGTGGAAATGGGCTAACTTAAGTGGTGGGGGTGCCTCCCCTTGCACTTTAAAAAAATCAAGAAACCCTTCAGGCTGAACTTTCCCATTTTGCGTCATGCCAGATGGAAGTCACAAAAAATAAGCATTTTTTTCCTCTACAAGCTAGTTTATTGTATTGTGAATATATATACGAAAATGCTGTTTTATTAACTTAATGTAAATTAGTCCTACTTCAGTTCTGCTATGAGAGAGGCAGGGTTGATAATGGAAAGAGAAAAGAATATGATATCAGAAGACAAAGGATTTTGTCTGGCTCTGCCATTTCCTAACTGCATGGCCTCTACCTTTTGGATACTTAGTTTTCTAATCTCTACAGTTGACCCTTGAACAATGTGGGTTTGAACTGCACAGGTCCACTTACCCGTGGATTTTCTTTTTTCCAATAAGTACCACACAGTATTGCAAATGTATTTTCTTTTTCTTAAGATTTTATTCTTTTCTCTAGTTTACTTTATTGTAAGAATACAGCATAGGGTACATATAACTTAGAAAATATGTGTTAATCAGCCATTTAATCTTATCAGCAAGGCTTCCGATCAGCAGTAGGCTATTAAGTTTTTGGAGAGTAAAAGTTCTATGCAGATTTTCAATCCTAGACCCCACATAGTTCAAGGGTCAACTATAATTATTTGCATAATTAGAGTTTGTCACAAAATTATGTGAACCAAATACGATGCCTGTGAAAATACTTTGTAGAGTATAAGGTTCTATGCAGATGAGTGAATTTTTTATTAAAATTATTCCTTAACCACTCTTTATGTTCTCTGATTGATCAGAGATAACTTAGTCTTCCATTAGGAAATTTTTTCCTGAAATCTGATGTCTCCATTTTATCTCCACAGTATTGAATATTGGTAAAAAACTCTATGAGGGTAAAACAAAAGAGGTTTATGAATTGCCAGATAGTCCAGGAAAAGTCCTCCTGCAGTCCAAGGACCAGATAACAGCAGGAAATGCAGCCAGAAAGAATCACCTGGAAGGAAAAGCTGCAATCTCAAATAAAATTACCAGTTGTATTTTTCAGTTGTTAAAGGAAGCAGGTAAGTGGCTTTCCCGATAGCCTCCCCTTTCACATTCTCTCTCTCACGAACATATTTGTCCTTTCGTGGGGAAATGGCATTATTTGGATTAACAACATGTTGACTACCAGTTATATTTTTCAGTGGTTATCGGAAAACAGGTAAGTGGCTCCCCTCACAATCTCCTCCCTTTTGAATATTGCCACACACACACACACCCCACCCCACACACACACAGGGCACACTCTGATCTCTTTCATGGGGAGATGACATTTGGATTAAGAACATGTTGTTTGGCAATGTCTCAAAAGGTAAGGTTACTGAAATCAAAACCAGGAACTCTTAAATTTCACTACAGCACTTAATTTGGAATTAGTAAGTAGTATCATTTAGTTAAGGAATCTTAACAGTTTGCTACAGTCTTTGTCTGGCATGCATATCTCCTCTGTAACTTTTCTCTCCTAAGAAGATGTCCTAGGAGAGACTTACCTATGAAGAAGTCCTGTTCTGGTATTAGGCAGCTCTAATTGAAGAGTTGAAATTTGGTACCTGCAATTCTATACAGTTATTCATTTCTCTGTCCCTTGGAGATAAGACAGAATTTCAAATTCCTTTTCCACTTGAAAGCCCTGAAAAGTATTTGAAGATTGCCACCACACCTTCTTATTCTGCCTCAAGTGAGGGATTTGAACTAGATCAAAGATCTCCAGGGTTACTCCCTACTCTAAAACTGAAAGAAGACTATTTCCTGTAGAGACATCTATTCAAAGAGACTAGATCAGAACATTCTGTGGAGGGCATTTGGAGTAAAGAAAGGGGAATTAAGATAACGGGCTTTTCTGCAGGGATTCAGTCAATGCTGATTTGTCTGTAGTATATGAAATCTCAGCTAATAAAAGATTTGAGCTCTTTTCCTTCAGTGTAAGAGGCCTCATTGCCTTGGATCACTCAACCTTTGAGGCCTCTGGTTCCTTAAGCCTTGTTTTTTACTATCCCTGTTCTAATTTTATAATTTAATTATTTTGTCTCCTTTTACTACCCTGTTTTATTGCACTTGGCTTTATTGTGTTTCATGGATATTGCCTTTTTTTTTTTTTTGTACAAATTGAAGGTTTGGCAGCCCTGCCCCTGCATTGAACAAGTCTGTTGGTGCCATTTTTCTAACAGCATTTGTTCTCTTCATGTTGCTGTCACATTTTGGCAAGTCTATCAATATTTCCAACTTTCTCATTATTTTATATGTTATGGTGAACTATGATCAGTGATCACAACTTGCTGAAAGCTCAGATGATAGCTTTTTTTAGCAATAAAGTATTTTTTAACTAAAGTTTTTTAGATATCATGCCATCACACACTTAATAGATCACAGTATTGTGTAAATATAACTTATATGTGCACTGGGAAACCAAAAAGTTCATTTGATTTGCTTTATTGTGACATGGAACCGAACCTGCAATATCTTCGAGGTATGTCCATAATGTCTTAAATTAATCTTCTAAATCCAAAGGGGGATTTAATACCTTTGTTTCCAGTCAGGATAGATGTACCTACCTTCCACAAAATAACAAGGTAATTCAAATTAAATCAATTCTGTCAGTACAGAATGGGTTCTTGAATAGTTTTGCCTCTTTCCTAGTTTTCTGTTGAACATTTTTAAGGTAGTGTGGGGAAAAAATGTTTGCCAGCCTAATTTGTCATCTACATCATAAATCCCTCTATACGTTGAAAGTGAGTATGTTGTGATAAATTTAAAGGACCACCCACAGTTCCTAAGTAACACGATTTTAGGATTTTTATTTCAAGGCTTCCTTGATAGGTGGTTTCTCAGTGACTGAGTTGATTGTTATAGAGAGCATCAAACTAATTTTAGGTTCCTATTGCAGTACAGATAAGTGATCCATTTTTAACTTGCCAAGTTATCTCATTCTCCCTGTACATACTAAAATTTTAAAAAATTGCTTAATACTATAAATTTTTAACAATAAAAAAGATTAGCTCCTATGTACCCATAGTAGTTATACATAGCTACGGGGCTTTATTTATTTATTTATTTATTTATATTTTTTTCAAATAATGGAAGATAAGTACAGGCCCAAGTTTTTATTTTCTTACTCAGTAAGGGACTATTCAGTGCATTTTGTGGGCTTGACAAAAATGAATTAAAGTGACCCAAATTGTCTCTGTTTGTCCAGGACTTTCCCAGTTTGGACTGTGAAAGCCCTGAGTCTGAGAAAGCTGGGAAAGCTCGCAATCCTAAAAGAAATACTCCAACAATTATCTTTAAACTACTGTATTGGCGGGGTGCCTGGGTGGCTCAGTCGTTAAGCGTCTGCCTTCTGCTCAGGTCATGATCTGAGGGTTCTGGGATCGAGCCCCGCATCAGGCTCCTGCTCAATGGGAAGCCTGCTTCTCCCTCTCTCACTCCCCCTGCTTGTGTTCCCTCTCTTACTGTCTCTCTCTCTGTGTCAAATAAATAAATAAAATCTTTTTAAAAATAAATAAATAAATAAACTACTATATTGGCACACTTAACTAAAACTTACTTGGTTCACATGAAATGTTGAAAGATGTTTTTCAGGTTTTATACACTGAAATTAAGGAAAACTTAAGTTTTAAAAAATTCTTAGATTTGTTTTAGAGGACAGATCAGGAGTTCTGTTGCCTTATCTAATTTTTACTTGCTGATAGTTAAATGCTATGTCTAGTTGACCACCAGTGATCTATTTAAAATTGCTTTCTTTATAACCAAGGCTATGTTCCTAATTAAGGTATTTCTAGAAGTTAGAATGGGAAGAGCACCAAATGAGATTTTGTAAATCAGGATTCTGATTTTCTCACTGTCAATCACAAGCAAACTATAAAATACTATACAAATAATAGGTATAGGTAATACTGTTTTTCCATGGAAATATTATACATGCTACACCTGAGTTATGAAATGTGTGGATTTGGTCTCAATACTTAACCTTTTAAGTCTCAGTTCTCTCACAGAAACCTACCGTAATTACATTTAGGTGTTAATAGTGATAATGGGTATAAGTCCTGCAGTTGTTAAACCACAGATGAGGAGCTGGGCAGCCTTGATACATGGGTGGCCCAAGGGATATGTGGGCTGATTAGCTGTCAGACACTGCCATTGTAATTCAGAGTATGAAGTGACATTTCCTTAGTAATCTTCATAGGAGTCTTAAATTCTGTAAATAGTGAGACATGGGGAGAGTTCTTTTGCTCATCCCCCCAGTCATGAAATTTGCTAAGATGATTAGCATGTATATTAGAAGCAATCATTATATCATCTAAACTGAATCTTTTTTTTTTTTTTTGAAGCAATTCTTTTTTCCTGTACTAGATCATTACCGTAAATTGATTCTGTACTTTTGGTTCTCTTAGATGTGAGGAGGAATTTTCCTCTGAGTAAAAGTAACTATTGTTTATATTTAAACAATAGATTGGGATACCAGTCTTTCAAGCTTGGTAGACAAATGAGCACATATATCTAATAATTAACAGATCTTAAAAGGAACTCTTAAAGCCAGGCATGTAGTTACCACCTGTAGTTAAGGATTGATTTAAATGATTTGCCTATCCATGAGCATGAGCCCAGTCATTCTTTAAGGGTTAAAATGACCATTTACTTAAACTCTTACTCTTTCCCAGAGTTCCTGTTCATGTAGCATGTCACAATTTCCTGTTTCAATTGAATCTTACTGGTCAAACCCAGAGGGAGTACAGAGAAAACAGTGCAGGTTTGCAACTGGTCCAAGCACCATTACTGATTAGCAACATGTCCCAGCTTGTCAAATTACTTACCTTCTTTGAGCCTCTGTTTCTTTCACTGTAAAATGTAATGATACCTACCTGAAAAATTTTATATGTGGTTAAATGAGATATAAAACACTTAGGACAGTGCAGGTCTTACATAAATGTAGATTCCCTTCATGTACGGTAATATATACGTATGTTATTATATGGCAGCACAAAGTAATCCTGTAGCATTACCATGATTAAAATGTCTCCTGGAAACCTTTATGTGTTAACATAATAACGCTCATCTTCAAGCTGCAGTGTTAATACCTAGAATATCTAGGAGTGGAATTGCTGGATCATATGGTTCATGATATATTATAACTATTATTAGGTTATTTTCCAACATCCCCAAATAAAATAGCTCCCATCACAAGCTAGCTTTTTTATCTTAGTTTTCTAGTAACAGTTTGAGTAAAATAGAAGGGAAGGGAAGAACAAATGTTTTCTTTGCTCTTGGCCAAATTGGCCGCTATGTTCTTGCTGCTACCTGTTGGATACTTTTTTTCAGGCATTATTTTCTTCAAATATTAAGAGAAAAGGGCAACCCAAAATGTAGGGCTGTACTTGATTGTGATAAGTAGATATTTTATAAGGCCCATTTAATACTGGACTGTCAAATGTGAGAATTGTATAACCAAATCTAAAGATAATTTAGTACCACTTAGATGAGTTATATGCTTTATGCAAGGTAGGTAAGCAGTGGCAGGGGAATTTCTCAAGTCTTTTTTGAATGTATGAATGAATGGTAAAGACAATGGGACCCAGACTTTCTGATCCACTAAATACTTTCCCATGCAACATTAAAATGAAATACTCCTAAATATTTTGATAAGCATTAAGAAAGCCATACTAATAATTTTGCTTTCCTACTTACACTTTTTCAAAAAAGTTAATATATTTTTGGTAGTATCATTTAGGGATAATACATTTGGCTAGATAGGGTTTTTGTTTCATTTTGTTTTTCATAAACAGCAATTTTATTATGCCTCAGAGCTAACTTTTTTAATACAATTTTAATGCTTTTTAACACCTTTTTATCAATATGTAGGTATCAAAACTGCTTTCGCCAGAAAATGTGGGGAGACAGCTTTTATTGCACCTAAGTGTGAAATGATTCCAATTGAATGGGTTTGTAGAAGAATAGCAACTGGTTCTTTTCTCAAAAGGAATCCTGGTGTCAAGGAGGGATATAAGTTTTACCCACCTAAAGTGGAGCTGTTTTTCAAGGTAATTATTCTATGCTTCTGTGTCTTACTATAGTATAGCAACAAACATAATTTCAAAGTCAAAAGATTTAAATGTTATTAAAGCTAAATAAAATCTTTAAAAAAATAAGATTATCAGTTATTAGGAAGAAAAGTAACAATTCAGAAACTTTAAATTTTTAAAGAGTTTGAAGTAAGGTGAATACAAGGGATCTTTTTATATTCAGATACAGAAAAACTATTACCAATATCTCTTATAAGCAAAAACATAAAAAAGATGTAGGAATCAGTGGTTATAAATTTGTATTGGTTTTCATTATTGAAACTGCTTTTTGGGATGCCTGGATGGCTCAGTCATTTAAGCATCTGCCTAGGACTCAGGTCATGATACAGGGTGCTGGGATTGAGTCCTGCATCGGGCTCCTTGCTCAGCAGAGAACCTGCTTCTCCCTCTACCTGCTGCGCCCCCTGCTTGTTGCTCTGTTGCACAAATAAATAAACAAAATCTTAAAAAAAAAAAAAAATTGCTTTTCTCTTTCCCTCTTTGTTTAGCTGTTAAGCATAGTTCTAACGTCAAGAGTAATGTCTGTGTAGCATTTTTATTGTTCCCTTTTTTTTTTAAGATTTTATTTATTTATTGAGAGGGAAAGAGGGAGATGGCGAGTAAGCATGCAGTGAGAGGAACAAAGCTGGGGTGGGGAGAGGAAGGCGGGGGGAAGAATCCTAAGCAGACTCCACACTGAGCAGGGAGCCTGACAGGGGGCTCCATCACACAACCCTGAGATCATGACCTGAGCCGTAACCAAGAATCTGGACGCTCAACCAACCAAGCCACCCAGGCGCACCTTGTGTAGCTTTTTTTTTTTTTTTTAATTTAAAGATTTTATTTATTTATTTGACAGAGCGCACAGGCAGGGGGAGCAGCAGGCAGAGGGAGAGGGAGAAGCAGGCTCCCCGCTGAGCAGGGAGCCCTACGCAGGGTTCAGTCCTAGGAACCTGGGACCATGACCTGAGCTGAAGGCAGGTGGTCGGCCGACTGAGCCACCCAGACGTATCTTGTGTAGCATTTTTAAACAGTGAACTAAAATTGCCTCTCAGCCTTTTGGCCTAGTTCAAGTATAATTAGTGAACTGCATAGTTTAAAATGTTTATCTTATGGTTAGAATACAAATCCAGAATTCATAAAAGAAAAATTTCATGTGAAATTGGGACACTACATAAAATGAATAAAATGAAAGTATTTTTTTCACTAATGCCTTTATATAAAGTCTCTTGAATTATTAAATAATATCCCTAAAGACTTACAGTCTTATATAAATTTTTATTAAAAATGAGGTCAAGAGCAGTGCCTGGCTGGCTCAGTCGGCAGAGCATGCGACTCTTGATCTCAGGATTGAGAGTTTGAGCCCCACGTTGGGTGTAGAGATTATTTAAAATCTTAAAAAAAAAAAGGGTGGGGGCGCCTGGGTGGCTCAGTCATTAAGCGTCTGCCTTCGGCTCAGGTCATGATCCCAGGGTCCTGGGATCGAGCCCCGCATCGGGCTCTCTGCTCAGTGGGAAGCCTGATTGGCCCTCTCCCACTCCCCCTGCTTGTGTTCCCTCTCTCGCTGTGTCTCTCTCTGTCAAATAAATAAAATATTTTTTAAAAAAAGGGGGTGTGCCTGGGTGGCTCAGTTGGTTAAGCATCTCCCTTTGGCCCAGGTCATGATCCCGGGGTCCTGGGATCAAGCCCCATATCGGGCTCTCTGCTCAACGGGGAGCCTGCTTCTCCTCTCCCTCTGCCTGCCCCTCTGTCTGCCACTCTGCCTACTTGTGCTCTCTATCAAATAAATAAAATCTTAAAAAAAAAAAAAAAAAAAGGTCAGGAGATTATGAAAACTGCATCCTAGAGAGATTTGGTGGACTAAAGTGTGTTTTGGCCTTCTTACTCTCTCTATTGACTCAGATGAAGAAAAAATAAAAATCACAAACTTTTATTTAAATTAGTTTATAGAGAGAGCAAATTCTTTCAAATTACTTTATCACCTGGAGTAAGTTACTCACCGAATATCTTAAATTTTAAAGTAGTTATTAAAACTAGATAAATTAAAAATAATTGTGAGTTAAAGGGCATTTCAATGAAAAATTAAGTCTTTAGAGAAAATAAATATTTCTGAGGAATTCATGGTCAAGGAAAAAAGGACTTCAGTTTATCTCAAAAATTCAAAATTTTTATTTTTAAATTAATTGTACTCCTATACTTTATTTTCAGGACGATGCCAATAACGATCCACAGTGGTCTGAGGAACAGCTAATTGCTGCAAAATTTTGCTTTGCTGGACTTGTTATAGGCCAGACTGAAGTGGATATCATGAGTCATGCTACACAGGCTATTTTTGAAATACTGGAGAAATCCTGGATGCCCCAGAACTGTACGCTGGTTGATATGAAGGTACAAATAAAATGGAGATTTGATAATAAAGATTATAACTGAGAAATGTCTTTAGTTATAGAGTTTTGAAAACTTTTCTTTGGTGATATGCTATTTCTAGATTGAATTTGGTGTTGATGTAACCACCAAAGAAATTGTTCTTGCTGATGTTATTGATAATGATTCCTGGAGACTCTGGCCATCAGGAGATCGAAGCCAACAGAAAGATAAACAGGTAATGCCTCAGGATTTTTTTTTATCCTTTTCAAGATCAGGCGAGATAGAGGTGAGTAGGAAGATGGGAGGAAAAGAAAAGGCAACTATTGTTCTATATGATAAGAACCAGAGTTGATTGCTGTTTACTTTTAAAGATAAATATCTCTTACATTTCGTATATCCTGAAGAAAAATAATAGGAACAGTACCTTGCATTTACAAAACAGATTATTCATTTATTATGACTATCACACAGAGCAAGGGTTATCCTTGTTTGGCCAATTGAAAACTGCTGAGAGGATGATAGATATCTTCATAATTATAAGAATAAGGGCAGATCTGGAACTCTATCCCAAGTGTTCTGGATCTTACCAGGTTCCATTTCTGCTCTGTCCTGTAAAAACAAAATTAGGGCAGATGCTCTCTACTTAATACATAAGAATTGTCAGGGCAGTTAATTGTAGTTGCTAGTGTAGAAAGCACTTAAGCTTAAATGAAAATACAAGTGTACTTCACTATCTGAACTTCCTCTAGTCTAATTCAGGAAATGAATTTATAGGTTCGGATACATTTTCAGATATATTCCTTGCTATGCAAGCTTTTCATAGTCTACCCAAAACTCAGAAATTAAATAATTTCAGTTAGCAAGAATATTACTAATAGAATATCTGTATTCTAAACTTTATATCTTATTTTCTAGTCCTATCGTGACCTCAAGGAAGTAACTCCCGAAGGGCTCCAGATGGTGAAGAAAAATTTTGAGTGGGTTGCAGAAAGAGTGGAGGTAAAACTTTTGTAGTAAACCCATGCTGTTCTGTGTTTTTCTACAAGAAAATCTTGCTTCAAAAAGGACAAAACGCCCCTTCAATAGGGGCGTCTGGATGGCTC